TCCCTTCACCATAGCTGGATGTCCACAACATCTTACCCCTCCCGGTGCCTATGTAAGGTGTGTGGGGTGACTTGTCATTAGTGATGCCCAGAGGACAAAGTGAAGCTATTGATGCCTCAGCCCAGCTGGGGGACATTTGTGAGTGAAGTTGATCCTGAACCTGACCCCAGCCCAGTGGACATGTCTCATTAGACGGCAGTGCCCTTGGTGGTAGGTGAGAACAGGTTGGAGCAGGTTGGGTGAGTGCCCCAAATGCAGTCAAGTGACTTAGTGGGATAGGTCTTCTAAGACTCTGAGATATCAGGGTAGTCTGGGACAGTCTGTCAGGTTCGTTTCTAATGTGTCTTTTGTGGCCCTGGCCCAGGCTCAGCATTTCACCCAGTGTCTCAAGACTCTGTTCAGCGTGCTCAACTATGAACGGACAAAACATACTAACCTTCTGGGGGCTTCTGTACTGGGCCTGAATGATGTCTACAGGACCTGGCGGGCCTTTGTACTGCATGTACGCACTCTGAACCCGGCACCCAGGATGTACTTTGTTAAGGTGATCATTTGGACTCCCGCCATCACATTTGCTCCCATGGTCTTGACTCAAGGGACCTCCTTGGAGCAGCCAACACTGGGTGACCCTATTGTAGGTGGTGGTTGAGAGTGCTGGCCCCTGCTACCATATATAGGCCAAAGTTACCGTGGCCTCCTGTTCTCTCTGGAGCAGGGGGACCCCATACTTCTGGGATAGCCTTGTGTGGATTCCCTGGACAGTGCGCTCCAATTCCTCTGGGATCTACCCTATAGGAGAATCCCGTTGGATGCTGGGTCCTACTAGCCATGCTTGACTCTGTCTACCACTAGGGCCTGCATGCTTCAGTATCTGTGTTAGGCAGGGGCCCTTGCAGGCTGTGAGGCTCTGCAAGGAGAATGTAGGTTTTCCTTGACCTAAGGGTCTCAATCTGGGATATTGGGCTGGAGAGAGGAATGTAGACCCACTATGCCCCAGGGTCCTTTGTCTGGAATGGGAAATTTGTGGGATAGGCACATGTGGCTAGGCTAGTACAGGAGCATGGAGTTTCTTTCTCCTGTCTGTCTATCTCCTACTGGTTTGCTTAAGGGCAGGTTGGAACCCAGACACCAAGGACAGAGCCAGCAGGACCCCTGGGCCTAGGCCCAACCATGCTTAGTGTTCACATGTGTTCCACAGGCAGATGTGACCGGGGCATATGATGCCATCCCGCAGGAGAAGCTTGTGGAGGTTGTTGCCAATATGATCAGACACCCGGAGAACACATACTGTATCCGCCAATATGCAGTGATCCAAAGAGATAGAGAAGGCCAAATCCACAGGTCCTTCAGGAGACAGGTGAGGCTATGGTGGACTTTTCATCTGTGCTGTGAGCATGCTGGTGGCACAGGGCTTTTCATGTCGTGAATATCTGGACTCTTTCAGTGACACAGGTAAGGCTGTGATAGGTCCACATTTCTGGCATGTCCATACAAGGACATGTCTGTGGCTTGGGTATCCATGGTGCCAGTGATCATTTGTCAGACCCCAGCGTGCCTCCCTCTACAGGACTCCCAATGGAGATCCCCCCAATATCCTCTTCAGTAGGTAGGTGGGGTCTGTGGGTTCAAAGGCAGAGGAATTTAGGCCTGGGAGAGGCGCAAGGTGACTTCCTTTCCCTATATATAGGACATACAAGACTCACAGGCAAGCTTTAACTATACATGCATGATATGTGCAGTGGCCATGTGGCTTCTGCACCAAGGATCACTACACCCAGGCGATTCCTTCCCTACTCTGGTCAGAGCAGCTACCATTGTGCCTCTGTAGAGGCTAGATGACAGCATGTGTGAGTTATTTTCTCCATCCACTACATGGGTCTGGGGATTGCACTTAAGTCCTTAGGTTTGGTGGTAGGTGTCTTTACTTGCTTAGCCATTACACCAATCCCAAGGAAACACCTGAAGTTATACATTTCTCTGCAAGACCCCTCAGTAGTCCCGTACACATGCTGGCTTTTGTCAGTTCATTATCACTCAGTTCAAAACCTTCTCTATTTATTTATTTATTGCAGTTTTTGATATACTCTTTAGTGATTTAGAAGCATGTTACTTCATTATTTTGAAAATGCAGGCATTTTCTATTTATATTGCTATTTTTTTCTTTATTAATAAATTTTTATTTAAATTAAAAACAATCTTATTTTACATACCAATCCCGGTTCCCTCTCCCTCCCCCCACCAACTCCTCATCCCACCCCCCACCCACTCCCCAGGGATGGTGAGGCCTCCCATGGGGGTTCATTAGAGTCTGTAACATCATTTGGGGCAGGACCTAGGCCCCCCTACCCCCCCCCCCCGGTGTATCTAGGCTGAGAGAATATCCCTCCATAAGGAATGGGTTCCCAAAGTCCATTTGTGCACTAGGGATAAATACTGGTTCCACTGCCAGCTGCCTCATAGACAGCCCAGACCTCCGAACTGACACCCACATTCAGGGGATCTGGTTCAGTCCTATGCTGGTTCCCCAGCTGTCAGACTGGGGTCTGTGAGCTCCCTCTTGCTCAGGTCATATTGCTATTCTTTTCTAGGTTAATTCTTGTACTTTAATTTCTCTGGGTGACTTTACTCCTAGTACTATAGCAAACCAACTTGGCACATGGGTTTTTGGGGTTTTTTTGTGCTACTACTATATGTTAATTGTACATAATAATGGGTTTTGTTATGACATCTTTATGCACAAGTATAATGCATTTTGACCATATTCATACACGCAGCCTAACATGGGAAATTATAAGGTTCAAAGCCAGTGTGCAGTCTCCACATATGAGAGCATGAAACAGAAGTATTGCAAGTTTGAGGACAGCCAGCATTACTCAGAGACCCCAGTGTTCACACGTCTGGACGTCTTACACCTAGCATGCTAGGAATTGTTCCTGTGCTGTCAGTAGATGGTGCTGTATTCCTTCTGGTGACATCGTGTCTAGAGACATGGATCTTGGTGGCCACTGGATAAAAAGCAGGCATCCTAAAGAGTCTGTTGCAGGAGATGAAGGAGCCATCCCCTCCCTAATCCTGTCAGCTCTTCCTCCTGACTGCCGCTGTCTCTGTGGAGAAGTTGGGATGCTACTTGTGTTGTGACCATCGGTAACCACAGCATTATGGGGGTGTCTGACCCAAGGAGAGCTGACTGTGGTGCAACCTGCTGTTTCTGTGGCTCTTCCTGCTAGGGTGCTAGATTCTCCCTTTTCCTGTTAAGACTCTAGGATGGAGTGGTCCCACATTGTTCTGTTGTTGAACTGTGCTGTGACAGTCCTGGCCAGAAAACCATGTGCCCCTCTGGTTCCCCTCAAGTGTTCACCTCCTCTGTGCTGCAGGTCTCCACCCTCTCTGACCTCCAGCCACACATGGGCCAGTTCGTGAGGCATCTTCAGGACTCAGATACCAGTGCGCTGAGGAACTCCGTTGTCATTGAGCAGGTCCTTGGGCTCCCCATTAATCGGCCGCACCTGGTGGGGCCTTCCTCCTCTACTTGGCTATTTGCTTCAGTGTAGGAATGTGACCAAGGTATTCCTTGGTGGAGAGTTCCCATGACCAAGGCCACTCTTTCCTGGTGGCAGTCCCCATCCCTATGACATGACCTAGACTCCCCAATAGCTACTAAGGTGGGCATGCTCTGAAGTGCCCTGCTGGCACCCACCCATGTATGTTTGATTGAAGGGTGCCATTAGGTTCTCTGTGAAGAAGGCACTGACAATTTTACATGGCTATGACCCAGAATGTCCTTCCACTAATAATCTGTTACTAATTGTCCCAGATAAATATTCAGTTCAAGAGCCTGATTGCTTATCATTAATGTTTAAAATCTAAAAATTTTAAATAAAAAAAAAACAACCTGGAGTCAGTGAATGGGGATGTAGCCCCCCACCACCCCAGGTTGTAGTAAGAGTTGGGAATGGGAGAGATAAGGGTGGTACTGAGTTTGGAGTCTTTTTGGGTCTTGGCAACTGACAGTAGTAGATATTACTGTTTGTTTACGTGGTCTTTGAGCATGTTTACAAAATGGTGTATGTCTGTGTACATATTTATACATGGGGGGTTGTCAAATGTGAGTGTGAAGCCCACCATGGCTGCTGCTTCTGACCTTAACCACCACTGCCATCCCCAGGTGCTATGTCCAGTGCCAGGGCATCCCCCAGGGCTCCAGCCTGTCCACCCTGCTCTGCAGTCTGTGTTTCGGAGACATGGAGAACAAGCTGTTTGCTGAGGTGCAGAAGGATGGGTAAATTGCTTGTTTTTACTGCTCCAAGGGCCTGGGTCATGAGTTGCCATATCTTCACACTTGGAGTTCCCAGCTCACTGAGTGGGTGTGACAGTTGCTTTATGTCCGAGATGTAAAGGTCATCCATTGCCTTCACTTCGTGCAAAGCTGCAAAGTGCACCAGAGCTATGTCTGTTAGGAAGACAGTAAAGCTGTCGTTTATCTTCTTTTGAAATACCACTTTGTTTTGTCTTTGTGCATTGTGACACCTAAAATGTTTCAGGTTGGATCCCCTACAGGTGGATTCTGTGTGAAACCTGTCAACATGTCTCATTTTAGGCTGCTTTTGCGTTTTGTTGATGACTTTCTGTTGGTGACACCTCACCTGGTCCAGGCGGAAGCCTTCCTCAGGTAAGGACTGCTATGCCTGGGTTTCTGCCGTATGATCATGATGTATGTGCAGCTGAGGCAGCACATTTAATCGGTTTATAATTTTGTGTTCCTGGAGCTCGTGTTGTCACCAAGACCTAGTGGCACCTCTACCAAGTGGCAGGGTCACCTCACCTGTGCAGCCAGACATGGGTACCTCCAGCACCAAGGAAGAGAGTATGGCACCCATGGCTGGTCCGACATGGTCTCTCCGAGGATGCAGTGCGGTCAGAGACCGGGTCATTTCCAGTATTTGGAAAGTCTTCAGATGAGACAACAGGCAGTAACTCCTATGCCTCCCAGCCAAGCCCACAGAAGGGCTGTTTGCAGAGGCCTAAGGCACTTAGCCCTTCTAGAAGATGTGAGCATAGCTGTCTTAATTAGAGTTTTTTGGGGGGGCGGGAGTTTGGGTTTTTCGAAACAGGGTTTCTCTGTGGCTTTGGAGGCTGTCCTGAACTAGCTCTTGTAGACCAGGCTGGTCTCAAAATCACAGAGATCCTCCTGCCTCTGTTAATTAGACTTTCTATTGCTCTGAAGAGACACTGTGACAACAGCAACCCTTACAAAGGAAAGCACTTAATTGAGGCTAGCTTACAGTTTCAGAGGGTTAGTCCATTGTCATCACTGTGAAAAGCATGGCACTGTGCAGGCAGACATGGTGCTGGAGAGGTAGCAGAGAGTTCTACATCTTGATCTGCCAGCAACAGGAAGGACTGTGTGCCACACTAGGTGTAGCTTGCGAATATGAAACCCCAAATTCTGGCTCTAGTGACATGCTTCCTCCAACAAGGCCACACCTCGTAATAGTGCTACTCCCTATGGGCCAAGCATTCAAACACATAAGTCTATGGGGCCATACCTATTCAAACCATTCCTGATAACTTTGAGACTTCACACCACACCATGAAGAACAGGCACTGGGTGAACAGGCCCATGGCTCTGTAGAGTAACTTTTCTTTATGGATTGTTAGGAAGAGACCAGAGAATTTGTACTTACTAAACATTGGTGTTTTGAGACATGGCTGTTGTATTAGGAGTGGTCATTTTTCTTACATTAATATTCATACTAGTGAGTTATAGTATGTATCCCAGGCTGTTTGTAGTATATAGAGGTGAGGTCAGGGTTATTGCATATCTGGGTGTAAAGTTAATTTTTGTGGTTCAAGCTAGAATTGAGCACTGCAGCCCTGCTTCAGAGCAGGACCATCAAGTGAGGTTCCTTGGGCACCACAGAGTTTGAGGGTTCCTTCAGATCATGTATTATAGAGGAAGCCCCCTCAGGCGCTGTGAAGTTTGTAGACCTCCTTTTAGGGTAATTGACAAGAGGAAAAACCTGAATGTGATTAATTAAGCCGAGCCCTCAGAAGTTGTCACCACTGAGGTATTGGTGTTTCTGGAAACACTAAATGCTGTCCAGTTTCAAATTTGCCCAACAGGGCTCTTTTGGGCATAGTGTCCTCGAGCCCAGTAGGTTGTGCATGTCAAGGTAGGTAGAATGAGGTGAGAACAGCCCCAGTGTGTCCCTGTCACATCTGTATCAATCAGAAGCTACATGGCCCATACATAGACAGTGGCCACTGGGGACAGAGGACAGACACTGCTGCTGTTGAGGAAAGTTCCAGAAGTCAGTTTTGTCCCTAAGACCTTGTCAGGGAAGTGGCTCTGGATCAATGTCAGATCACCAGGTGATGGGACCACTAGGTGGGGGCTGTCCATGGACACCTGTAGGAAATATTTACTACAAGGAGCTGGCCAGGGCAGCTGCAAGGACTGACTAGTCACAGGCAGGTGGATGGCATCAGGTGTTCCCACCCATGGGACAGGAGCTAGACTACTGCCAGACTGCCAGTGTGAGTTCACTCTGAGGAAGGGTACACATTTACTTTCAACTCACTGGGGAGGTCTTCAACTCACAGGCAAGCAGTCAGTTTAGCATTTGCTGGGAGGGGAAGCAATCCACATCTACAGGCATCTCAACGTATAAGAAAACAGACTTTTTGGGTGAGGGGGAGAGGGTCCCTTGCTACATGGATGTTAAGGTATAACCATCAGATGGTTATGTGAACCTTCCTACTTGTTTGACTCCTGGCCATCTTGTTCTGAGCTGGCCCTATTGCTTACACAGAAGAGCAGCCCCAGGCTACAGTCTGGACCAAGACTGCCTGGTATTCCATCAGGGTTACCCACAAGGACCCACTCTCTCTGATCCCAGAACATCTCTGGGTATCTTTGTGACATGTGCTGAGTGTGCTTCCAGGGTTCCATAACCAATGTTTCCTCTCTTACTCAGGGCCCTCGTCCATGGCATTCCTGAGTACGGCTGCATGATAAACTTGCAGAAGACAGTGGTAAACTTCCCTGTGGACCCTGGTGCCCTGGATGGTACAGCTCCACACCAGTTGCCTGCTCACTGCCTGTTTCCCTGGTGTGGCTTACTGCTGGACACTCAGACTCTGGAGGTGTTTTGTGACTACACTGGGTAAGTACATCTGGCTGAGTTGAGGACCCATGAGCTCCTGGGGGCAGAAGATGCAATGGGATGCTCCATTCTTTTTCCTGTTGAGGAACCATGAGCTCCGGGGGGCAACTCACCCCGGAGGTCTTTGACTCATAGGCAAGTAATCGGTTTAGCATTTGCTGGTAGGGGAACCAATCCACATCCATGGTTCCCCTATTGAGGAACCATGAGCTCCTGCTGTGTGGTGTTCCATCCTGTTTCCTACTTTTGGACACAAGTAACCATGAGGCTTGAAGTGATAGAGGCCCAGAGATAGACATGTGGGCAATACGAGAACATCTTCAGCCTCGTCCCAAGTCTCCTAGAGACCATGGAGCTAGGACCCTTCTCTGTATTGAGGTATAAAGGGGGTGTGTGTAGGGGGGGAGTTGGTCTCCAGTTACCACAAGCTCACAGCCCAGCTTTAGTGTAGATAAGACAGATTTGAGATGGACGGAGGTGAAAATATCTGGACCATTTCTTTTATGAGTAGAAGCATGAAAATTGTGGTAGGAAACTGAACCTGTCGTCATGTTGATAGCTATCTGTTCTGAGCTGGGATCCAAACTCTCCTGTCTCCATAGTGCTCTTTGGAAGTTCACACTATAAGGGAAGAGGTGGGTGCAGATAAGCTATCTCTGTGCTGCCTTATCTGCTGCCATTTCTGTCCTCACAGGCCTGGGCTCCTCAGCCTTCCTGTCTTTGTATGCTAACTTGGGCCAGTCCCTGGGATTCAACTCAGATTTAGTTTGGCTTCACCCTCTGCCCCTAGACCCACTTTTGCCACCCCAGCCTCAGTGCTCAGCACTCCAGTTGCTCCTAAACTATTAACTTGCTTAATCCATTCCCCATGAGGGGCCTGAGCTTTTTTAGAGGATAAAGTCCCTGGCTCAATCCCCTTACACTCTTTAGTGTCATTGAGTAGTAGGTAAAGCAATCAAAAAAAAAAAAAAAAAGCATTTCCCTTCTGAACATACAGCTAAAGCCAGATAATAGCACAACCTTATGAGAAGCCAGGCTGACTGGACAGGGGGAATTGGAGAACACTCTGACACATAGACCAGGAAGGTCCCTGCTTCCAGAGTCAGAGCAGCTGTGAGCTCATTTATCCACTGAGGCTGCAGAATGGGTATGCTCAGCTGAGCCAAGGATCCCCCTGTCTGAGCCAGGGACAATGCATCTAGAGGTCAGCCAGAGTGACTAGCAACATCCTAAAGGGAAAGTATATTGGTAGGAGTTTCTTCTCCCCAAAGCATAGTTCACATGCAAAGTGTGAAGAGAACTGGCAGAGCACTGCAGTGTAGATAACAGTGTCTCCCAGAATTGTGCAGTCGAGCTTTAGGACCTGTGGGGAATCGGTGCAGGACCCCCGTGAATAGCAGTATATCGGCTTAAACCCTCACAAAATGCTTAGTGTGTGTGTAGGCTCTGTACATATGTAGTCACATATGCTTCGAGTCGCTCAGGCGAGGGCGGCATCTCCAAAAAGTGACACTCGCTGGTACTATGGTACCAGAACACTCATTTATTTTTCCTAGTGATTCCACATCTTCCTGTCCATCCTGGAAAAAAAAAAATCAGAGACTACCAAAAGCCTTACTGTTTTACAGTACTGAGGCTGGTTTGTCTTGCCCTTTGACA